CAGGGATGCTTTAGGTTTGGGGGTTCAGATTTTTGTGGGTAACGGTATCGTCAAAGAGTGTCCAAAAGGGAAGCTTCGCAGCCGTTATCTCTCCCGTGAGCTTTAGGGCTGTAGGATTGAGGGCTTTAGGATTTAGGATTCGGATTTAGGGTTTAAGTAGGCGTTTGGATGTCGGGCTTAGGGTTTAAGCGGCCGAAGGTGAAAGGCCTTGGTTGGAACGCACTTGGCATTGGCATGGTGGCCTGACGATGATGCACGGGTTCTCCGCACCTCCAACCGGGAAGAGTTACGCTTGCACGTTCTTTGGTGAATAAATACCGAAGCTCTAACGTCCCAAAGTTCCAAACCCTAAAGCTCTGATTGACCCTAAAACGATTCTAAAACCCACAAGCCCTAAAAGGATGTGGCATGGTAATATAGGGGCCTAAAGAATTACATATACTATTTTGGGGGTTCCTTATTATAACTACAGTATAGTTTGCCCCAAATCCCTATTCTAATTATTAGGCCCCTATAGTAAGCAACCCTAAACCCCAAAACCCGAAACCCTAAACCCCCCAGGATCTCTACCAGCACCACGGCTTGTCTGTTTCCGCTCCATCACAGGCGCCACCAGCAGGGTTTTAGGGCTTTGGCGCTTAAGGTAACTAGCCTTAATCATCAGAATAGGATCTTGGGGCACGCAACACTTGTTAGTAAGGAACCACTAAAACAGTGTTGGTAGTTATTTGGGCCCCTTGTTTTGTGGTTTAGGGCATGAGGAGTCTGCAGTACCTAGTGCAATTTAACTCCCATTGCCCTTGTTTGCGCATTTGCTTTCCCGTGTTTGCTTCCGGGGGAAGCTTTCTGATTACTCCTCTCACTGCTGCTCATGCTCCCGCTACTACTACTCCATTTCTCCTACTACTACTACTACTACTACTACTACTACTGCTACTACTCCTGCTACTACTACTACCACTACTACTACTATTACTACTCCTGCTGCTACTACTACTACTACTACTACTACTACTTCTTCTTTTACCGTGCTAGTAGTATCGCTGGCGACGTTAGAGCTACGGGCCTGAGAGGTTGGCCCGTGTTTTGGCTCTTGGGTTGATCTGAAGCGAGGATCCAGGTTTTTGACCGCGTTCGAGTCCAGGATATGAATTTGGACGCTATTGGAATGAATTTGAGCTTGCGGTATCGAAACTAGGCTTGAATTTTATGGTTTTCCATGTTTTAGAGGTTTTCGGGCTTTGATTGAAGTGGCTGAGTCCATGTTATAATGCTTTCTATAGTCTATAGTTTTTCGGATGCCGGCTCAGCGCACTGAAGTTAGATGGTAGTTGTTTTGAAGAGGATCTACTTGGAGGGTCGGGGGACTTAGTAAGTAGGTAGTAAGTAGACTTATAAGTACCCTAAAAGGGACCTAATTGGGGTTATGGTACTTATAAGTCCCTAAAATAACCAGTTACTAAGTCCCCCGACCCTCCAAGTAGGGAATCCAGGTTTAATGTTCACCTTCGAGGGCTTGCGATTGACAGGCACCTCGCCGCCCACGAGTCAATGGCCGTGGAAGGTGAGAGCCCCCGCGAAACGCGGGAAGTGGCCAAAGATGTTTGGAGCTGTTTACTATACATCGCACAAACAGCAGTGCCGTTGCACCACTAGTTCCAACACCCTTTGAGAATGGTGTGGAAGGCTCAGCGAATCGAATATTCTCACCAAATGATTGCAGCATAACCGTATCACAGTTTTCGCAACCCGCTAGTTCACCCCTTGCAGCCGTGGTTTCCTATCACATCTCTTTCAGATTTGACTCTTGGGTTTAGGGATTCGGGTAAACCCTAAATCTTGTTCAGGCCACAGTGGTTGAGTAGGTAACCTTTAACCTCTTGGGGTTTATGTAGTCCTGCCATAGATGTAAAAGTAGGTTTATTTTGGGCTAGGGTACTCAGCGCCTAAGAGCACGATGGTCGAGAGTCCAAATCACCCTTTTGGCTATGATCAAGTGTAGTATCTGTTCTTATCAGTGTGACAACTGATATGTCTCCAACTGGAGACTTGCTTGTCACCCCGCTCCGCATTGCAGGTCCTTACCGCAGAAAGGCGTTCTTCCGCAGTAGCCCGCCTTCCGTAGGCAACGGTGCTGTTTTCAATGCCTCTCTACTTGCTTTGGGCGCCGCTATCTGCCACCTGTCCCCCCCTGAGTTGGAAGCGATGGCCAATCAAGAGCTGGAGCAATATGCCACCCTGCGGCAATCGTCGGCTCTCCAGTCTGAGCTTCGCATCCTGTCGGCGTCTAGGCGCAGGGCGCTCCCGGCCATCCAATTCACTCAGCGGCTTGTGCTAGGCTTGCGATATGTGCGGAGTGCCTATCAGGTGCGCCTTTCGGCGTTTGTCCATCTTGCAGGCATATCTCTCGCCGATCCAACCCCTCCCGGAGAGGGGGATCAAGCTCCACATGCACAGATCCACCCCCCTACTCGTGATTTGCAGCGCTGGCTAACATCTCCTCCAGGTTTTGCTCCCGTGCGAGAAATCCGCTGGGCTCTCCTTCCTTGTGAAGTGGCAGTGCGACGACTGCGAGCAGCAGCAGCACCCTGCCAGCGTGTGCGCGAACCGACTTTAGCGCAAGCGCTACTGGACTCCGGCGGGGCCTTCCTTGTCGCCGGAAATGCTCACTGGGGCCTACCGAGGCCAACTTGGTCGGATGCAGTCTCCGCCCTTGCAGTGCCCTGCCGCTGTTCACCTCCTGCACACCTTGATTGCATAGCAGCTTGCTGGACCTGTAGAGGTGCCTGCCTCCCTTCCTGGGACTCGCCGGCCAACCCATGCCCTTGGTGTCGTGGCCAGGTTGGCCCAGTCTGTGCCTCATGCAACACGGTTGTACACAATCGGGGAAGCTGCCGCTGGAACTCCGGTGCGCACCCTTCCTATGTTGCAGCGGGTGACGTAAACATCCGTCTCTGTCCTGACTGTTGGTGGGCGTGGGCTTCAAGTCTAGCTGCAGCTCCACGTCGACATCCCCCTCCTACGCTGGGTGCAAACCTTCTGCAGCACCTGCGCCACTCAGCATTGCACTGCAACCCGGGGGCTGGCTCCGGTGCAACTGCGGCATCGTCACTCCCAACTCGCAAAGTGCGACGGTGGCTCCTCCGGCAGGTGGAGGGTGGCGATCTAATCTCCATCGACCCTCTTCTCCAGGAACTGCGAGCATGGGCTCCCACGGTTGCTGACGACTGGCCACCCATTGCTCTGACGAGGGCCATCCGCGCTTTAAGTGCGGAGGGGCGCATAGTTGTCCGTAGGGATGCAGTCGAGCTGTTTCGCCCCCAGTCGTAAAAAGGGTTTACTTCGGTCCGTTTTTCTGGCCGTCCGGCTTTTTGTCCTTTGTTGCTGTCCCCCTGCTTCTTGTCCCATCCGCTTCCATACCCCCCCCCCCCCGCCACCTCCAGTTTCCTTCCGCTTGTAGCCACACCATAGTGCCTTCCTACCACACTCGGTTCAGAGCCTTGTACTGCTTTGGGCCGGCCAGAAATGAATGTGTGGCTTGCAGTGGGCTCGTGAGGTAGCCACTGCCGTGTCGTTCCAAGCACGGCACCATATACACCCCGTCTGCGCCGTCGTAGGTGCGGCCCTCACGTGCGATAAGCGGCACACCACCGTGCTTGGATCTTCCCCGCTGTGTAGGGTGGCGGCCTACAGTACAGCCACGCCTCGCATCTAGGCACTGCTGTTTGCATCTCCGTTTCGCTATCCGTCGTCATGTATCGCTCCGGCGCACTAGGTTCGGGTCACTCCCGTGCGACACATTGTTACAGCATCTTCCCCCATCACTCGGTCTCTCGGGGAGTCGTTTCAGTATTCTCGGTATTGTCAACTATGTGCAGCTTTGCTAGATTATCTTACCCGCCCTCTCGAACCCCTCGCGGAGAGCGGTGATGACGGCATCGGAGCTGCTCTGAGATGCTTGGGGGGAAGGGGGTTGACGGCCGCAGTAACATCTGTGGGCCACTTTCCTCCTCCTCCTCCTCCTTTTTTCCTGATACTGATACTGGCTTTGCGGTTTAGGGTCTGACTGATTGTAGGTTCTTGGCTTTGGGGTTCAGGGTTTGATTAACTAGGTTCTTGGCATTTCAGTTTGTGAGATACGCTGTGTAGGATATTTGTATAAAATTAGCAATGTGTTTTGGGAGTTTCAGGAACCAAGAAGAGCGGACTGGTAGGACCGTTCTGCTAAAGACAGCAAGAACAGAGCCCCTCATTTCCTGGAACAAGCCCCAGGCTCAGCAAGACTCTAAACCCTAAACTCAAACTTCCACCCTGAACCCCAGACCTAAACCGTATGCTAAGGCTTAAACCCTAGGCCGTAAACCCTAAGCGTATATCCTGAATCCGAAACCGAAATCCTAAATCCTAAACCCTGAACCTTTAAGTACAGCTCCCTCTTGGCCAACGTAGGGTCGTGGTCGGGCGTTTTTGCGCCGACCCCGCGCCAAAGACGTCTCGGAGTTTGCTCTGAGTGCGAAAAGACGCGGGCAGGAGTTCCGCTCCAGGGTCCGGGTGTGTTGAGAATGAACGTCTGGGGTTTGAGGTTTCGGATGGTTTTGGGGTTTGTTGGGGTTTCAACTCGGCGTTCCGGAAAAGAGTTCTTTCGAATTTTGTCATCAAAAGATCCTGACATCAACCGCAACACTGCGTCCTGCTGCAGCCCACCGTGGTGCTTTCAAGGACCCCAATGTATACCCTGAAGAGTACAACCCACGAGTTTTTTTAACACACTCTACCATACTATAGCGGCCTTAGTAATTAGAATAGGTTTTTGGAGCCCCGCTATAGTATAACTATAATAATGAGGAAACCCATAACACTAAGGGTAACTACTCAGGCCTCCAGATTACAGAACCCTACTACAGATCCCTTATAGACCCCCTTTACAAGGAACCATTTAAAGGGAGCCTTTTTCTAACTCTCAAGACCCCTATATTACCATAGCCTCTGCAGCCACTCAGGTCAGGCCAACCAGCGAGATGCGTCTCCGGAAGGGCAGGCGGCGTGGTGGTGTTTCCCAAAAGGTCCAAAGTACCTGCATATAAGGTGCCTTCAAGGGTTCCATTAAGGGTTTATAGGGTTTAGGGTTGCGTTAAGGGTTGCTATAAGTACCTATACAGTAGAATTTAGGGTTTCTCTAGTAGGAATTGCAAAAATCCCCATAACAGTACCTAGGACCCTTCGGGTTTCTGGGTCTGATTGAAGTTGTAACCATACCAAAACCTATCAGAACCTACTTTTTTGTAGGTTCCTAAAAATTCCATATTGGGGTTTACAATAAGAACCCCGCCCCCCCCCCCCCCCCTAAAAAAAATATATCAGTTTTGGTAGGTTACGGTAGACCGCAGCCACTTCGGGGAATGCGACCGAAGTTTCACCGGAATGTGCCCCCAAACCCTGCTCGAATCTTTAAGGCGCTTATATTGCCCTGAGACCTGGAGGATATCATGCGCACAGCACCTGTCTTTTGGTCTCATAATTATAACAGCACAGCAGATCCTCAGAAAAAAAGCAGGGACATCGACCTAACCACATGCCAGGCTTTGCTTAAATGGCCCCATAGAGTCCCCTAGACCCTAAACCCTAAACCCTAAACCCTAGCCATAGAGTCTTCTAGTACCCCCGTAGTAGCGCATGTGGTAACCCGTAGATTCGACCCTAGAGCGGCGAAGTTCATGCAGCTCGGCTTGGAGCCTGGGGTGCTGTAGTTGGAGTTTGGGTGAATCCCAGAGATCCCAATACCCCTCAGATAAGGAATATAGCTTAAATCATAAAATGAAGCCCTCTATGATTTAAGCTATATTCCTTAATTAAGGGGTATTGGGCTCTTTGGGATTGTTTTGGAATCGGACATGTGCACTATGATCAATGGTGCGTTGTGTGGGCGAAGTGTTTACATGCGGCAGCAAACGACTTCGCACAGTACTGAGAACTGATCACTGGTGCGACACTGCTGAGGCAGCTCACTTGGGCAGAGAATTCGAAGGATCATGGGACTCAACGAGATTATAGATTGGTCACAACTACAAGTACTTGTGACAACCTACACTCATCAGCTTCCACGATTCATCAACGAACCAAGCTTCAGACGGTCATGCTACGGGAGCCAGTTCTCAGCGCACTGTGGACGGAACACGCCCCGCAAGTTACCCTAGGGGCCTAAATCAATACCAACACTATTTTGGTGGTTCCTTATTATGAAAATACTATAATGGGCCCCCCAAACCCTATTCTAATTATTAAGGCCCCTATATTGCTCTACACCTGGCGGAAAACTTTGAAGCATCCCAAAGCCATAAGTCGACAAGATCACGTATCATGGGGGCCTTAATGATTTGAATAGGATTTTGGGGCCATTTAGCTGTAATTGTAATGAGGAACCCCCAAAAGAGTATTGGCAATTATTGAGGGCCCTATGTTATTGTTGTTTGCGTGGAGGTGCCCGAGATTCACGGAGGCTCCGTCATGACCTTTGGCAAGCATCGTGGGCACTGCTGGCGCGATTTGAGTTCGCATGCCGGCAGTGTTCAAGCTTGCTTGCAGTGCTTGCCGGGCTTCTGCGAGTCTAGGCTTCGACTACTGGAAGTGAGACTTAGCCTTTTCCTCGAAATCGATACTCGGAAGCCTGAGCCTAGGCAGTCGGATTTCGTTCGCAGGCACAGATCAGGAAGCAAACCTAGCACTGCGGAACAAGAAGACCGACCACGCATTCGTGTCTTTCATGGCGATGGAACGAGAAATAGACCAAGTAATCGTATCAGGTGACAGCGGTAGCACAGTAGTAGCAGTAGCACAAACTGCAGCAGCAGCACCGGCAATGGGAGGAGCAGGAGTAGGAAGAGTAGGGCTGGGCATGGGCATAGGTATAGGTGCAGGCGTGGCGAGTAGGAAGTGGCAGTGGTAGCCGTCGTTGTCGTCGTTGTAGTCGTAGTTGTTATAGTCGTAGTTGTGGAACAGGAGGAGCAGGAGGGAGGAGGAGGAATTGAAGTTGTCCCTGTCGCTACCATCTCGCAAAAATGGTCTGAATGACAAACATCATCAGAAGGAGCAGTCAAGCCATTGATCCTCGAATGCGAGTGCGAAGTGTTGCCAGGCGCACTTTCGAAGATGTTCGACTGACCGAGTCGGCTTACTGCGCGCGCCACCCGGGTACCTTCTTGTTTTCTTCTTTCCATGTGAATATGCTGTGCTTTTTTGGGCGGTTGGGATGTAGAGTCAATGTAGAGTATATAGACTTTGGTGTGGTGGGTTGCTAGTTCCTCTAGTGGGAGGCTTAGGGTCTGCTGTTGTTCGGAACTGAAGCTGCGCTGGACTACCTAGGGTTTTCAGCGCAGAGCGCGGAATGTCCAGGCATCCACATCATTCCAAATAGTTTGCAGTCTAATATGGAAACGTGAGTTATTATATATCTTTATCAGTTAACTACGGCTTAGTGCGCTTACAATGATATCTACCACCCTGCCCAAACAAAGCTGTTCTCATTCTAAAGGTCGCTAAATTACTTGGAGGTTCATGGATAGTTAAAAGTAGGGTATCTACAGTTATATCTCCTATTAGGGGACTTAATAAGTCCCTTCATAGGAGTTACGATTGTAGTTGCCCTACTTATAGCCCACCGATAACTACCCAATGAACCTCCAAGTAGAGGTTCACGACAACGCCCAAACCAGGAACCCTAAACCCCTTAACCCTTAACCCTTAAACCCTTAAACCCTTAACCCCTAAACTCTAAACCCCTAAACCCTAAACCCCAAACCCTAAACCCTAAACCCCTACCCCGAAACCCTTCAGCCCTAAACCCCCAAACGCTAAGCCCTAAACAACCTCCAAGTAGAGGTTCACGACCCAGAGCTTCCCATACCCGGCCCTTAAGTAAGGAATATACTCTAAATCATAATATTAAGGCCTCTATAGTTTAAGGTATATTCCTCAAGTCCCTTATAGAACCCTTATATATTCCTTAATGAAGGGCCTTTGGGTTCTCTGGGGACCACGCCCGACTTGGAGGTTGATGGGTAGTTGCAAGTAGGGTAACTATACTTATAACTCCTATTAGGGGATTTCTAGCCCCACATGACTACCCATGAGCCTTCAAGTAGGCCCTAACCCCCCTGTACCATTAAAGAATCCCTATAACAGATCGCTTAAAGGGGGGCCCTTGAAAGGACCAAGGAATCCTTCCCCAGAGGGTCCAAGTACTCCCTATTATAGGACTTCAGGGCCCTTTTAGGTACCAAAAACCATAAATAGGAACTACTTGGACCCTTTGGGTTCTAACTACCCATGAACCTCCCAGCACACCCAGGCCTGGGCGCTGGCACAGCCGACTCCTTCTGGAGTCAAGTCCTCAGCGTACCCGGGAGGGTCGGGGGACTTAGTAAGTAGGTAGTAAGTAGACTTATAAGTACCCCAAGAGGGATCCTAATTGGAGTTATGGTACTTATAAGTCCTTAAAATAACCAGTTACTAAGTCCCCCGACCCTCCGAGTACCCGGGAGGGATGCTGAGTAGCTGAATAACCAACATCATCAACATCCAGAACCTCATGAACATTATACATATATACATTTTTATTTATATGTTCACATGCATGTACATCTGTACATATATATATATATATATTTATGTGTTGTAATGTGTTATAACCTTTGGAACATATGAGCATATACGATAATACACCATTATAGAACTGTTTTGGCAACGCGCTTGACCTCGGGGCCAAGGTTCCGGCGCTCGAGGTTTGGGTCAGAAGTCGTATTACGGTTGATGATATAAATCCTGCATGACCCATAATAAGGAATATACCATAATTCCCATAGTTTGGGGTCCTTAAGGTAATGCAGGATTTATATCATCAACAGTAGTTTAGACAGATGCTGCTGAGCCCATCGTGCTGATGCTCCTGCCTGGCTTGCGGCATGATGCTTGAGTTCCTTTCCAGCGTTCGGCTAATAGGTCGACACCAGGATACAATGGTATGTTCTAGTATACTCTTATCTATATATATATATACTATATATATATATATACTAGTATGTTCTCGTATACTCTAGGATACTATCGTAGATTGTATTATAGTAGGGTTGTTCGGGGGAACACTCTTTATCGCCGTATGAAGTCGTTCTGTTCGGAGGCTCAAGTTGCCAAGAATGCCCATGAACTGAGGATCCTTCAACACCTATATGGGGGTTTCCGAAAATAGGGGACCCTGATTATAATGTAGTACCCTACATACTAGGATCCTTATTATAAGGGACCCCAACATAAGGTACCCTGAATCGGAAACTCCCATATTCTTCTTCTTATCATTATAGTTACTCCAATAAAAAGTATTCTGTATAGTATCGTTATAGTTACTCTTTAAGAAGTATTCTGTATTTTTACTATAAGGAATGTATTCCTTGTAGTAACTATACGGAATGTATTCTTTGTAGTTACTTCAAGGAAAACCTGCGATGATGGCACCTCGGGACCATACCAGAGCCCCTTCCACAATCAAGAAAAGCGATCAGCGGGGTTGGGCTGTAGGGTTTAGAGTTTATGGTTTGGGGTAAAGGGTTTAGGGTTTCTAGGCTGCCCAGTAGTGCCCTTAATCCCTTTTTGTAGTCCTAGGTTACTTACAATATAAAGCTACCCAATACCAAAAAGGGAGCCCTTTTCGTTCTTAGGTTACTGGGCATCCTAGGTTTTAGGTAAAAGCCAGAAAGTTGGAATATGACTATCCTAAACCCTTTATGGTAAATTATAGGGTATCCTACCCTGAAACCATATTCCAACTTTCTGGAGTTCCCTTTAGGGTCTACTGTAGCCCCATGCCCCAGGGTTTGATCCACTTCGTCCAGTTCCTCAGACAGTCCGACGCCCCACGGCCGGATGCCCAAAACTGGGTTGTCCTTTGGGATCTTTTTTAAATTTCCCCCCCTACTATTTTGTAGAGAACCATGGTCGAAAACAATTTTCAGAGGGCTTAAAGGACAACTCAGAATAGGATTGGGGTTTAGGGTTCCTTCGAAGGTTGGTCTTCAACAAGGTGAAATAAGTTTCCATAAGGGTACTTCAGGGTTTAGGCTAGGGCCAGGGCATGGGCCTTGAGGATTGGAGTTCGGGATCGGTTTAAGGTCAGGGTAGGGTAGCTTTAGTTTAGGGGCTTGGGGCTTCGTGACCTATATGGGTAGTTGTGAAAATTAGGGTCCGTTTTTGGGCCCTTATGATAATACTGCACCTAATATTTAGGGTACCCAAAAAGGGACCACAATTTTGACAACCACCCATATAGGATAAGGGCAGAAGCATGGCTTTCGATTCTCGTTTTAGGGTTTAGAGCCTTAGCGCTCAGCGAGTACATAGCGCAGGCTTCGCTGTGATCTCTATGTTCAGACTTTTCACACGCCCTACGGGGCTGCTGAGACACGCCGTCGTTTGCACAGAATCCACTTGGAGGTTCATGGGCAGTTATAAGTGGGGTTACAAGTAGAGTAACTGTAGTTATAACTCTTATTAGGGGACTTATAACCCTACTTATAACTACCCATGAGCCTCCAAGCATGGCCTATTGAGTCACCCGAGGTTGCCAGCAACTCCACAGAAGAGAAAGCGTGCCTTGGCGAAGAAAGCCAGAGTGTCTTCTCGCCCCTGAGTTTGCCCTGTTCATGTTCTCATTCCAAGCAAAGCCAAGCTTTCTGCACAGGTTTTGGACTACTGTATGTTGAGTCGCAGGAATCAAGAATCGTCTGACTTTGCGTGACGTAATCATAGTTCATACCACGATTGCCATGACTGTTGATAGTTATAAAGGTTTCATCTCACCCTCATTGCTCTTTCGGTGCCGAATGTGAATGGTAGGTGGCACCCCTTCCGACACCAAGGTGCTGCAAAGCCAGAAGCAGCAGCAGCTCAGGCGTGGCCTCAAGTGCACGCCCAGCTTCAACAGGTGGCCGCGACCCCAGCCAACCCGACCTTCGGCCGCTGGGGAGCTAGCGGCATGCAGCCTCCGAACTCGGAAGTCGGTTGCCTTCAGGAGGTCTCAGACCTCAACTGGAGAAGTCTGCCCCAACAGACTCAGCGCACCTGCAACCTGCAAGCCAATCCAGGGCCAATTTCGGCTGCAACCTGGCACCGTCCTGGGCAGTTTATCCCAGGACACCACCAGGAAGCCTCCCGGAGCAGTTGGATAGCCCACAATGCGCCTGGACTGCCGGGCCATCAGGGCCAACTTAGCAACTGCTCCTTTCCGAGCCACGGAGGGTACACTAACACGATGGAATCGGCCGACCCCCGCCGGAACCCAACCCCAATCCGTTTCCTTGATGGCAACTTCCCGGTGCCGGCTGCGCCACACGGAGCACAGTGGCAGCAACACGGCCAGGCTCATTCCTTTCAGCCATGGCGGTTTCACGGCACAAGGGCCTTCGCCAGCCATCCTGAACTTCTCCCAACCCGCCGGGAGAACCTGAACACCCAGAGCCCTCCACCACCCTCCTTCCCTTCCCACGCGCTCATTCCAAGAGCCGAAAAACCGAGTCCCCGTAATCCGGCCCCGCAGTCGGCGGCGCCGAGCCGCAAGCGGTCCTGGACCGATGTGAGCTTTCCAAGGCTGGGGTCGTCGCAGCCGTTCTCAGGAGTTGTGGCGGAAGGGGTATATTGTAGGATCACTCGACTGAAGTCCGCTAATGCTAAAATTCATAATTGTAGGATCACTAAGATTGCATTATCAGGAAGGGATGTCTTGCTCAACAGCTGTCGTAGCTGTTACTGTAACAGGCCAAGCTGCCTATTCTCAACAAGTTGAGTCCCTGAGCCCAAGACCACCGGCAAGAGCGCATTGGTTCCTCACCACAAAAGACCCGTACTACAACTAAGAAAATACACGCCAAAATCCTACTCGCAGTTACTATATAATTCCCCTGTAGCAACTACTTTTGTTGTGCGGCCGCATCAGATGCAGGCAGCCTTCCACGACAAAGCCGAGTGGAGGCGGTCCGGCAAGTCACGCCTCAGGGCATGCGCAGTCGAACAGTTGGCGCGCTTGGCGCCTGCACCCTAAACCCTAAACATCCCTAAACCCTAAGAAATAAACCCCGGAGCCTAAACCCTGAAAAATAAACCCTATACCCTAAGCCGTCAGGGGATCCGTATAAGTAAAACTCGGGGTGAGTCAGTGGAGACGAGGCTCGACGCATCTGGTCTAAAGGAGCTATAACATTATACCTCTAGTCTCCATGGTAGTTCCTTTTTTTGGTTAAACCATTTTTTATGGTTGGGATCCTCTAAGGTAACCCAAAAAAGGAAGTACAATGGAGACGAGAGGTAGTACGTTATGCGACGTGATATGGAATCACTTTCGTAGTATGCCATCCTTCGACACGAGACTAAGATCCTGACCCGCGCCGGGAAAGCGGTACCGAAATCAGAAAACCTATGCTCTCAAGCCGCAATCCCGAAAAGCCCTAAACCGAAGCCGCTTCGTGGGGAGCTTCTTGCAGGCCTCGACAACTTCGATGATATTCGGAAGTGGGCCGGAGACTCGGGGTAAGGCCTTAGGGCTTTTGGAATTAGATTGTTGGGATTTTAGGATCGTGGGGATTTCTGTGCATGTATGCTCCTGGGTTTAGTTCTTCTGTACAGTTCTGCAAGAGAGCGCATGGTGCAGGGCATTGCAAGGCACCCGTGTTCTGGGGACTCGTTTCCCACAGAGGATGTAGCAGAGGCCGAAAGGTTTTGCGATGATTACTTGGAGGTTCATGGGTACTTATACGTGGGGGGTTATAAGTAGGGTAACTACATCATTATAACACCTGCCAGGGGGCTTACAACCCCACATATGTCTACCCATGAACCTCCAAGAAGGTGGGGAGGGCTGGACACCGCCATGCACAAGTCTGCACACCGCAGACCCCAAGACTGGGTTGTTGTTAAGGCTGTTAAGGGATGTCGTTGAAGGTAACATAATCGGGAAACCATATTAAAAGTTACTATAGATCCCTATTATGGTACCTTAAACCTAAACCTTATACCGATATACTGTAGATCCCAATTACGGTAACTTAAACCTAGACCCTATACCCTAAAAGGAGCCCGATTATTTACTATGAGCCCGGAGGATGAACTGCAGCCCTGCCTTACACCCTTCAGGCGCAGTGGGGGATTCCTTGTGTGCCGAGAGGGAGAGGAGCTTGTGAAAGAGTAGCTCCCTGAGCCCGACATACCCTAAATCCCTAAACCCTAAACCCCCTACCTGGACCCCCAAAGTATGTAGAATAATAGCCTGTTTATAGGTTTTGGGCCGTTATTCTACCTACTTTTGAGGGTCTATAGGTAAACCCTATATACATAAACCCTTGCAAGCCCAGATCATCAAGAAGCCCTTCGATTAGATGGCCGGAGTCCTCAGAACGCCAAGTATTGTTCCGGAAGCAGAGATCAAGTCGATTCGGTCCAAGTTCTGGAGGGTTTGGTGTGTGCAGTAGTGGTTGCTGGAATTTTCTGGTGCATAATCGGGAGATACTTGGAGGTTCATGGGTAGTTATAACTGGGGTTATAAGCCCCCTAATAGGGGTTATAATGATAGTTACCCTACTTATAACCCCACTTATAACTACCCATGAGCCTCCAAGTAGGGCTCATAGCACGAAGCTTACGCACGGCGTGAGAACCTTGGGGTTTCGAGGCATTCGATCCCAGGGTTTAGGGTTTAGGGTTTAGGGGTTTAGGGTTTAGGGTTTAGGGTTTAGGGTTTAGGGTTTAGGGGGGTCTTTTCTGGAACAGAGTAGGGAATTGGCAGGCCCGAGTCGTAATTATGAAGGTTGCTGTATCCCTAGACACCTTAACTCCTATAAGCGCCCCATAAACCTGAAGCCCTAATCCTAATCCTTAAATTGGAGAGGAGAGAAGTGTAACCCTCACCTCCAAAGCCTAGACTAGTTCACGAAGGAAGGAGGCCTGTGGGAGAAAATGTTAAGGTTCCTTTAAAGGCTCATAAAGTATCTATAGGGTACTATGATATAGGGGCCTTAATGGTTAGAATAGGGCTTTGCAGGGTATTGAATGTTTGCATCATTTTGCATTCCTGCACTTCTAGACCGACATAGAAAGCCAAACCACAGAAGCCCGAAACAACATCCAGACGGACGGCAAGACAGATAAAACTTACATATAGGACTTCGCGTTTAAAGTCTTGTTGTTAAATGGGCTCGGGGGGGCTCGGACAAGAAACCTAACTTGCTGATATCGGCAACGGACCTTCTGCAGGAAACCTTTTTCCTAAAGGGTCCAAGTATCATTATACCCTATAAGTATATACCATAATGATACTTGAACCCTTTGGGTTTATTACTTCATAAAGATAAGCCGTCTCTCTCCGAAACTGGTCTCAGGTTGCTGCCCTGCCCCATCCGCGGGAGGCGGCACCAGGAAGACCTCGACACAGATGCGAGAGGAACAAGAGCATCCCACCAGGGGCCACGGTTCAAGAGTCCCGGATTGAGCATCCTACCTAGACCCTCAAAAGTAGGTAAAATAATGGCCCAAAAACCTATAAAAGGCTATTGTTCTGCATACTTTTGGGTCTCCAGGTAACCACGCCGGGCTTAAAGGCCGGCTGACGGGTCGATCTGATGCCCTTCGTCGCAGACGTTGTGTTTCTGGCTAGGATCAGCAGCTTCTAAACCCCTACCACAGGCCCCATAGTAGTTCCTTTTTGGGGTTCATTTGTGAATCCTAGAAGGTAATCCCCAAAAGGCACTACTTTGGGGCCTATGGGTAGACCCTACAAACCCCTGAACCCGAAATACGCAATCGAAGGGGTGGGGGGGTCCGCATTCAGGCATCTCCCAGTCTTGAAAACGCAATAAGACGCTGGACATCCCAATGTCTCAAGCTGTCCTACACTCGAAGACGGCGAAAGGGAAGGTGGGTGCTGTTCGAGTTTATCCTTGGCTTGATTGCACGTCCGTCTCGAAGTTTGTATGTTCTGAGATAGATCATAAAATCGAAAAGCCCCAAAGCAAAAAAAAACAAATCCTGCATCCCCAAACTATCGGTGACCCGAAGCCCTGAACCTTAAATCGCCTCCAACCTTGGATGCCGTGCCCAGACCTTCTCAAAATCTAAGATCCCCAATTGCCCAACCTTTAAACTTTTGTGCTCTTATATAGTTTAGTAGGAATCGGAAAGTTTAACCCTTCATTTCTGTGGCTCATTGGGTATGTATGAAATTGACTCGCTTCACGCCAGGCAGTCAATGCTTTTGAGGCTGCCTCCTGGGCTCTCGCCCTGTCCCAAGATGGACTTCTGTTGGCTGCATCCCCTCCAGAGTACTATAGATGCCTGAGTGCCTGAAGTAATACTTACCTATACTCTTTTGGGGGCACGGTAGAATGGGCCCCACAACCCCATTCGAATTATTCAGGCCCCTCCGGAGTAGGTTTGACGTGGTCGGGAAAACTTCCTGTGCAGTGCTTCAAAGGGGGCATCCGAGGGGACTGCAGCTACCCGGTTATCCGGCTTCCTAGAGTCCTAGACCCTCAAAAATGATGGCCCCAAACCTAATAAAAGGCCATTATTCTACGTACTTGTGGGGTCCAGGTAAACCTGACCCAAAACTTACAAAAGGTCATTATTCTGGGTACTTTTGGGGTCCAGGTTGCGTTAAGCTGCTTTCTGGGGGGTTGCCACCCAGGAGATCTAAACTCTCTCAGACGCTGCCCTCCACTTCAGCCCACAATCTGGCACATGTGGATGCTGCCCTCAACCCAAAACCCAAAAGATCCTGAAAACCCTTAAGCCCTAAACCCTAAAAGCCCTGAACCCTAAACCCTAAAAGCCCTAAGCCCTGAACCCTAAGAGCCCTAAGCCCTGAACCCCAAAAGCCCAAAGCCCTGAACCCTAGTGTCATATCTAACCCAGGCAGAGGCAGCTCTTCCAGTACATGGCTCACATCGTCAAGGCTTCTTGGGCCATTTTTTTTCCGAGTGCTAGGGCTTACGGTCCATGTTCAGGGCTCGCCGTTTTGTGTTTTTTTTTTTTTTGTTTCTGGTTTTTTGTCACGTTTTCGAGGTTTCAGTCAAGGGGTTTAGCTGATTTCAGGGCGTCCGCGGCACCAAATCCTACATACTCCAAGCCCCACATGGTACAACTCTAACCCTGAACCGTCAAACCTAAACCCTAAACCCCAGAGCTCAAGAGGCGCAAGAGGGCAACGACGTGCAGATCTTTGCTGGCACGGGCTCTGCGTTAGAGGCGGCTCTGGACTTTGCTGTTAAGGGTTTAGGGTTTAGGTTCAAAGGGGAGAAGGAGGGACCCTTGATGGGGACCCCTATGATGGGCTATACACTGGGTATAGAATAGCTAAATTAAGGGTATATACCTAGGGGTCCTTATTAAGGCTCCCTCCTTTTACCCTTGCATTGTTGAAGGTTTAGGTTTTCGCCTGCTTCGGTGTCAGGGTTTCTGTCTGAGTCTTCAGGGAACTGGGAGTTTCCGAAAATAGGGCATCCAAATATAGTACCCTAAATAGTAGGGTCCTGATTACAAAGACCTACTAGTACCCCTAGTTTCCGGAAACTGCCAACTCGCTGAAACTTTATGAAGCGGGGGGCAGATGTTGCCAGGATGTGAGAAGTATGAAGACGAATCATGGGGAGCGTCGTTTGGAGATGTTTCAGCCGGCATAGAAGCTCTTGCCGGAAGGACCTGAGAACCCCAAAACTTTGGCCCCAATGAGCGTAGAGAGAATAAGCTTACATGCTGGCAATGCAAGAGCAGAAATTCGAGCGATCTGTTCGCGGAGCTCGTTGCCTGTCATGTGTGGGCGATGTGACTTCTACCCATAGGCTCCATAGTAGTTCCAGTTTGGATTCATGGTTAGGATCCTATAAGCTAATCCCAAAAAGGAACTACTCTGGAGCTTATGGGTACTTGCCCTACTAAAGCTAAATTCCGTCAACATCAGCGGCTACTTCTGAGCTGAGCGCTCCACTGGATCTTATTTCCGAGACCTACCTAGACCCTCCTTCTAGCTTCTATTAGACCCTAAATACCTACTATTACTTTGACCCCAAAAGTATGCAGAACAATTGCCTCTTATAGGTTTTGGGCCATTACAATACCAAACTTTGGGGGTCTAGGTAGGGACCATCTACCCCTGTCTGAGGGTACAAGAAGGGTCCTAGTACTAGAGTTCATGGAGTGCTTTTGGAGTTTTGTGTATTGGGCTTAGGGATATGTCCCGACGGCCAAGTGCATTGAGGGAGGGCGTGGGGTTACAGGAATAATGTGCCATTAACGGGCCTCGAAGGGTTTAAGGCCATTCTAGGTTTATGGTCTTTGGCGGTGCAGGTTCAGAGGGTTGCAGTGTTTTAAGTGTCTTTGGTCTCAAAACCCCTCGGCAGAGTTCAACGTGGACCGTTGATTCTGATTTTGGAGCCCTGTGACAGAGTAATGAGGCCTCGTTCAAAACCAGCAAGGTTGGGCCTTATCAAAACCCTAAACCGTAGACCCTAAACGCTAAAGCGTTACTACTTATGTATCCGTTTGGCAAAGGCCGCCGAGATCAAGTCTCTCGTCGGGGAGGCTCCTGCTTGGGTTTTGCCAGGGCTTGTGTTTGCAGGTTAGGGTTCCATCCGGACCCCAGTGGCCCTTTGATGGAGCCCTTCTGGTCCTTAATGGCGGGTATTTAGGGTATAGTAGAGGGTAGTTGGGGGTTTAAGTATAGGGCTTATGGATGAAAACTCTGGAGCTCCCTCGAAGGCAAGCCTTGCAGCCAAACTCTCAAGCCTACACTTACATCGCTCGTCAGACATCCTCCAAACCCTTCCGCGTACATGCATACCGTCGAAACAACAAACGACCTGAAAAGCAGCAAACACCCCAAAGCCCTGAAGCCCCACAATCCTTAAACCAAAACCCCCTAAACCTCCAAACCGAAAAGTTCGACCTACCCCCAAAGCCTAAACCCTAACCCCTAAACCCTAAACCTCAAACCCTAAACCCCACTTAAAGGATCATGGAACTTCGTAAGTAAGGTTATAAGTACCTTAATTGGGGTTATAAGTAGCTATAAGAAAAAGAGTTACCCTAATTATAACCCTAGTTACTAAGTCCCATGATCCTTTAAGTAAACCCCCAAACCTTAACCCTATAGATCCCTTTAAGGAACCCTTATAGATCCCTTTAAAGGAACCCTTAAAGATCCCCAAACCTTAATAGCTTCCCCGGCCAGTCCGAAGCCGCGCAGCGCCTGGTCGTTGTCTCCGGGCGTGGGGACTCCGCAAAGCCCGGAGAGGCCTCCACCGTCCTTTGGGTTGGAAGCTTAGGGTTTTAGGGTTTCGGGTTTAGGGTTTAGGATTTAGGGTTTGGAGTATTTAGGGTTTAGGGT